TGCATTTGGAAGCTGGGGATTTATTTTTGAGGCAAGGTCCTTATCTCAAGGGAGCAGAACAGTCTAAAGGATAGACATCTTGGATGGTAAGGTTCCAGTTTTAATTATTGCAGTCCAAACAAACGAACTATGGTGGAAAGGCCAGGAGAGAAGCAGCCCAGTGTAAAGCCGTCAAGGTTGTAATTTACCGTGGCTGGTTTTGCTTTTCCACATATCTTTTTCTTGAGCAGACACCTACCAGTTCCAAGGCTCATGGGGGAAAAAATAGGCTTTAGAGGGACTGACTTACTTAGCAGACAGACTGGCAGAGTAGAACAAGGGGACAGCAGTGACTACACAGAACAGGAGATCCAGGTGAGTTTGCTGATTAGGTGCATGCAGAAGGGAGTGATGGATAAGTAAGAGAGTTCTTCTACAGAGGCAAACATTCATGAATTCCTGTTGCTTTTCACCTCGCTAAACAGGCGAAGGCACTTTAAAGGCTTCTTTGAATCCCAAATAACAATCAGAAAAACCCCTTTGTCTATCCCAAATGATCACTGTTTGTGACTCTCTCTCCATGCATGACACCCATCCTGTCAGGAATAATAATCTGACAAAGACCAGCCCAGGCATGAAGAGGCTGAGCCAGAACTCCGACTTCTGCAGCAAAATTTCCCTGCTGACAGCACAGGACAAGGACCTGCCACACCAGCTTCCAAGAATACAAAGTGCTTCCAAAGCATGGAAGTTGTACACACAGCATTACAAGCCTGACAGGCAAGAGCTGATCACACACAAAAGTTATCCCCATGGTTTGGTCCTTGACGGAGCTCTGAAATAAACTTCAAGCTACAAAGTCCCTCTCTGTGGTGCTGCGAAGGCTGATGTAACCACGGTTGAATGTCTGGCTCCTTGGAGAGCTAATCAGTCTGGTGCAGCTGTTTGTGTCAGATTTTATGAGAAACAGAGACTGAGCTATACCCCTGCTCTCAAACATTGTCTCCAACCTGATAGAAGTCCTTACCCCAGAGCATGCCTGAATCTGTGCCAAGGCATTTAATTACCTCTGACCACGTTGCTAATGGGGTGGACATGCCATGGAATTGGGTTGCGATGGAACACCCAGTGAGTCACACCCGGATAGCTGAGAAAACCAAAGCCTTAGATCGCAAGGGTTCAATTAAAGTCCAAGTAAGGAAAAGAGCAGAAATTTTTCCCAGCGCTTTCTTTTTACAGCTGTGGCTGCTGTCTTTTCCCCTTTTCACACAACAGACAGTCCTAGACCACTTACTTCCCCTGCTCTCACCAGTGCACACTTGACCTCGGAAAATGAAAATACAATGTTCTGGCTGTAAAACATGGGATCCAAAAGACCTACCTTCATTTCCTAACGGTGTCATCAGCATGACACAAGGTTAACAGTTGCTTTCTGTATCTCTCCTTGTCTCCTTTAAACTAATCTTTGTCTCTTCCTCATCCTTTGCAGTTCAGAGATGTCTTAGAAGCATTCCAGATGCTTTCTCATGTCATGGTATTTTCTTTATCACCTAAGGGAAAAAGAAGAGTCTTCAGTAAATAAACATTTTCAATGTTCAAAAAAAAAAAAGAAAAAAAAAAAAGCTTTAACACAGAATCAGGGCACCCTCTAGAACAGACTACCACACAACAAAAAGGGTCCCAGTTGCATTAGTTAAAAGATAAATTCAATAATATCATGCTTTTTTAGCTTACCTCATGATATTTCAAGGACTAGTTCATGATATTTTTAACATTTGTGGCAATGTGCTGTTCTAGAGCTGAATGCTTTGATGCCAGAGGTGATTTCTATGCCTGAGGCATGTATAGACTCCTAAATATAAACCCCAGTCCATGAACTAAAATTACTAATGGAATTTGGCTCTAGCCACAGAAAGGGTTTAAAATCATCTGCCTGAAGTCCTATTAGATCATGCTTCCTTTGCTTGTTGGAGTATACTGTATTAGGTAGGCAGCTACTCCTCTTCTTGTATTATGGCCACTGTATTCATCAAAATTACCACTATTAAAGCTATAGTTCTTCCCAGGAATTCCCACATTCTGGTCATATCTCTGGATACACGTATTTAGCCTGATATGTCCACAATACATTGACCTATGAGCCCTAATCATGTTGGTTTCATTGAGCATCTGCCATTCAGACCCTCTGTGGAAAGGGATCTCCTAGAGTCAGGCAGTCAGCTGCAGATACCAGAGTTTCTAGGAATGTTGCACAATGACTAAATACTTCTTTGTCATCCAAAACAAAATTTCTGACAAGAAACCGACAACCGAGATGACTAGCAACCCTACTGAGACCAGAAGCAGTAATAAAGTCATGTATTCGACTCCCCGCATGTCACCAGTAATCTTTATTATTTCAATTTGGTCCTTTAAATCTGTTGTGACCAAGGACAGATCATAGAATCACAGAATGCTTCAGGTTGGAAGAGACCTCCAGAGGTCATCTAGTCCTACCCCCCTGCACACACAGGGTCACCTAGAGCACGTGGCACAGGACTGCGTCCAAGTGGGTTTTGAAGATCTCCAGAGAAGGAGACTCCACAAGCTCTCTGGGCAGCCTGTTCCAGCGCTCTGTAACCCTCACTGTTAAGAAATGTTTCCTTAAGTTCCTGTGGAACTTTTGGTGCTTCAGTTTGTGGCCATTACCTCTAGTTCTGTTGGTGGCCACCACGGAAAAGAGGCCAGCACCATCCTCCTCACTCCCTCCCTTGAGGTACTTTTATACACTGATCAGATCCCCTCTCAGCCTTCTCTTCTCCAGGCTGAACAGGCCCAGCTCCCTCAGCCTCTCCTCATAGGGCAGATGTTCCAGGCCCCTGATCATCCTTGTGGCCCTGCACTGGACTCTCTCCAGAAGCTCCACATCCCTCTTGTACTGTGGAGCCCAGAACTGGACACAATACTCCAGATGTGGCCTCAGCATGGCTGAGTAGAGGGGCAGGATCACCTCCCTCGACCTGCTGGAGATGCTCTTCTTAATGCACGCCAGGATCCCATTGGCCTTCTTGGCTGGCCTTCTTGGCCACGAGGGCACACTGCTGCCTCATGGTCAATTTGTCATTCACCATGACACCCAGGTCTTTCTCTGCAGAGCTGCTCTCCAGAAGGTCAGTCCCCAGCCTGTCCTGGTGTCTGGGGTTATTCCTCCCCAGGTGCAGAACCTTGCACTTGGCCTTGTTGAACTGCATGAGGTTTTTCACCACCCAGTTGTCCAGTCTGTCCAGGTCCCTCTGGATGGCAGCGCAGCCCTCTGGGGTATCTGCAAAGGGACAGATGTAGCTGCCTTTGGAACTGGAATTTACATCTCTAACCAAGTTATTTGTGGCAATTAATACAGCAAACAAAAAAAAGGGAGAAATTCTGAAGATTGCCACTAGGTAGGGCAGAAAGGTACTTAAGCTGAACTTTTGTTTGTTTGTGTGTGAGAGAAAGAGGAATAACCATGATCTAAGTGTTTTACTATGCTCGGACTTAGCACAATATAGTGCTGACATCCGCCATATGAAAAAAATGATGAATTTAACGGTTTGTCACTCTTTTTTTTTCCCTTAGCATACAAAGAGGAAGTGAAATCCACTTTTAATAGAATAGTTTAAAGACTATAGTTTAATTCTTTTCCTCCAGGCATGCACAGAAATATTCTGTCAAGTGCATCCCAGCATGGCTAAGAATGTTGTTTAGTCAGGTTTGGAAGTGACCTGACAAAACTCTGCAGGAACCATAATTAAATTTATGACATTATTTCTCAACTAATCAAGCAACAACCTGCTGCTTAATTTCCCCTCTCCCCTTTTTTTCTTGTCCATCAAAATCCACTTTTTCTTTTAAAAAGCCTACAGAAAAACTTTCACTCTGCCAAGAATTATATGATGCTGCCCTACATGTACAGAAGGTGTACTTGAGAACATACACTCTGACAAAATTGCAAAAAAGAATCTTTATTTTTTTTGAGATTTTTATAATAGGATCATGATTTTCAAAATACAAAATGTGTTATATTTCAGGCAAATTAAATGACAGAGAATTGCAGTTAGTTGTTTAACTTTCATTGCCAAACTAAATTACACATTTATTTTCCCAAATCAATGGATCCCCAAAAAAGAGAGCAGCAATCGTTAAGGAGTCCATCAAGAAAATTCTTCTTAATCATTAATTATAATTTTTATCCTTTATATACCTAAACTCCTATTTAGTGTTTCACATTAGTCTCTTTAGTCTCTGTATTCTGATTTTAGCCTCTTTTTGGGCAACACAATGTTGAGTTAAAACATGAAGTTTTAAATTGAGCTTTAACATATCATTCTTTTTGGAAGAAAAAATAAAGATTGTTCCCATAGGAGACCTATTTACAACAAATATAATCGTGTTCTGAATTATAAAACAAACTAAACAATTTTCTGATTTGTCAAAAATAGTGAAGAAATCAAATAACAGATTGTATACAGTTATTTTTTAAAAACTAATCTAAATGTATCCCTTTTCCATACAGATCATATTCTTTATATAGGATATAGTTCTTTAGAACTGGTGGAAGTGGAAACTTCTTTGTGGTTGACAGTTTCTGGAGTCTCCTTAATCCCATGAGTTTACGTATTTTCAGACGACATAGATGCTTTAGTGAGCGAGGATTATCTGAGAAAACAGCAAGATAGAAACAGTGGGAAAAACAACGTCATCAACAATGATACTAGTCCAGTTCGCAATCTCAAAACATGCTCGGAAAAAATTAACATCAAAATCTATTACCTTGGAGTGCTATTAACTTGGCAGTTCTGAATAAAATACCATTATTTTTACTTCCAAAATGCCATGTTACATGCTGCTGATATTCATAATCAACCTTCTGTTTTCAGCTAACATCTGCCTAATGTTACTGTCCACTTTGCAAACATGCACATGGTGCTGTATCTTCAAAGTCTCTGAATAGCTAAACCAGGACCTTATTTAGTATAATAAATTATGAGAGGTAAAAGATCTCACCTCTTTTCTAGATGCACAACTTACTTAAAAATATGGATGCTGAGGCCTATCACGCAAACTATGTGGCACTCTATATTTCTACAGCAATAATGAGGCCCCAGGGCCAGATCATATCATGCCTGGGACTCTTGAGTCTTCCAAATAAACATTTAATATGAGAATTTACACCACTGTAAGTGTTCAGTATAATTTAGCTTTCCTAACAGATCAGTGCATTTCAACATATTTGAAATATCAGTACTTAAGATAACTAAATTATTTTGATGTTCCTGTGATAACAAAGAGAAAGATTTCCTCTGCATGCTGGTATAAACTATCAAAGCAAAATTAAATACAGCATATAAGCTTTAATTCTAAATATTTTGCTCTTAAATGGTCGATGTTAAATCAAATCCTATTTACAAATTTTAAAAAAAGTTAAATAAAATTAATGAATGCAAAAATTACTGATTATATGTTTCCCTGGCAGAACAACACACAAGCTAAAATAAGGAAAAGACAGATAAGAATAAAAAAAAATGTTTTATGCTAGATGTGTTAGATGACCCTTCAAAGAATTTTATCAGTAAATATGCAAGTTTACTAAAAACTTGCATTACGATTCATTATCTAAATTTCAAAGTCATAATTCCAGTTTATCATCTGGATATTTATGCAGTATTTTCCAATGCATTTAACCAACCATTATGCAAAGCTGCTACAGTCACGTTTATACCCCAGTATATAAACATTTTCACATACCAAAAGAAATCATCAGATGATATTCTAAGGACAATTAGAAATTCATTCCTTCATTGAATTTGGGATTTCAAAATATAATTACAGTAGTGATACCATAATTTTAAATAATAAAAAATAAAAGGATAATTGCTTCTGTATTACTATCTCTATCAACTATCCTTCAAAATGTGGGCCTCAGTTATCCCGCATGCACATGCAGTCACATATTCTGAGTTACCAAGTGACTATGTCAAATTTTGCAAATCTGAATTATGAGTTAAATGAGAGGCCTTTTAAAATCGAAGGAAGTTGCACTATTAGCTTTGGTGCTTCTCAGTTTGTTTTCCTCAGGCCCATTTATTAGATGGGAAACAAACTGAGAAGCACCAAAGCTAATAGTGCAACTTCCTTCGATTTTAAAAGGCCTCTCATTTAACTCATAATTCAGATTTGCAAAATTTGACATAGTCACTTGGTAACTCAGAATATGTGACTGCATGTGCATGCGGGATAACTGAGGCCCACATTTTGAAGAAATGTCCTTTAAACTGAATTAGAGGTCCACACTTCTCTTGTAGCAATGAAGGGAAATAATCACCTCAATCATTCATCTCATCCTAACATACGTCCACAGCAGAGGAGAAGCTTTCCCCACAGAGATAGCTCAGACGTAGACATCCATAGTGTAGATTTTTAAAGCTAAGGGAGGTGAAGCCTATCTTGGGTGCCATGAAAGGGGGAAGGCCCAGGATAATTTGTTTTAAAAATATAAGCATACATATGAAATACTTTTCAACTATTGTATAAAAAACGACAACCCTAACTGTACTTCACAACAGAGTTTGGAAATGGTGATACAATTGTTATGGAGCACTCGTCACCATCTATAATCCTGAATATTATGGGATGTAAAACCTGCTCTTATGATACTGCTCAAACAACTTGCAGAGCTGAAAAGGATCGAGGGAACAAAAGAGAAAGACAGGCCAGCAATATTCCTCATTAAAAAATGTATCTCACAGCTGTACAACGGCTGGTGTCTTTAAAATGCACGGGCTAATAAGGTGTTTGAGAAGGACCTCAACAGTCCCAGCTAACCCTAGGGGATGTAAAACCTGCTCTTATGATACTGCTCAAACAACTTGCAGAGCTGAAAAGGATCGAGGGAACAAAAGAGAAAGACAGGCCAGCAATATTCCTCATTAAAAAATGTATCTCACAGCTGTACAACGGCTGGTGTCTTTAAAATGCACGGGCTAATAAGGTGTTTGAGAAGGACCTCAACAGTCCCAGCTAACCCTAGGGGCTTCCCACAGAACAGTAACATCCTCTGTGAGAGCAATTCTCAGCAGCTGTATGTTTGCTATATTCCAGTGAAGGCAGCTAATGCATGATTAGTGGTAACAGGCAAAGATCTGTCTCAATCTGAGAAATGGATGAAGGGCAAAACCTTCATTTTTAGTAGTATGCTGAAAGGGACTATAAAATATTCTGGTTGAATATGGCTCCACAGAGACATTTAAAGTCTCTAATAAATCATAAAATCATTAAATGGAGGTTTGATATTTACCCAGTATCTGCCGTATCTCTGGCCATTCCTTCTGGGTTTCCAGAACGAACTTTATTTTTGTGCATAGAGGAACATAATCCATATAATCTATGAAAATACGAACCACTCTTCCTGCTAAATGTTTCAACCAAGGAACAGCAATAAAGTCACAGAACTGAAAAGGAAAACACACCAAAATTTCAAAGCCTGTGCAAAGGAATGCCAAACCCACAAATTTTAAAGCAATTACAGAAAACAATCAGAGTACTAGAAATAATTTTGACAATCATAAACTAACACCTAAGAAGGTTCCTTCAGAAGCCATTTGCTTCCATGCTTAACTTCTGTGATTCCTTGATCTGCCTGGACAGGCTTGGTGGCCAATATCTGTGATAATATTGCTATAATTTCCTACACCATTCTGCCTGACAGTGATTTCTCTTTGGAAATACATCTACTCCATTTGTCGTGACAGAAACAAAAATTCCAATTTCTTTCTCTATGGCTTATCTCTTTCTTCCTAAATCTCTAAGATACAAGCCTAAAACTAAAGTCACTCCTTGCACATAATTTTCTCCATCTCAGGGTCAAAACTGAAGAAAGACTATTTTATATTATGGGTCTTCTGAAAAGGGACTTTGCCTGTATGTTAATTGTGCACAATTACCTGGGAATTTTAAAACTGGTTAATGAAAACAAAAAAAAAAGGAGAGAAGAAAGTAAGGTACGTATTTACTGGATTATCCTTAATCACAGAAGAAGTCCATCCTGGGAGAATTTCTTCCTCTGGAGTTGACCACACAAAGGAATTTCCAAAGATATCTTGATGCATGCAGTCAAAGCACATTTCTACATTGTATCCATGGTTGAGCAAGAGCCTCAGCATCACCTCATCATTCAAGGCATACTGAATGGCACTGGGGAAATGGGTATCATTGACCAGCATAAAGTAGCAGTTGACGTTCGCTCCATAGGATAGGAGCAGCCTGACTATTTCATGATTACCAGCTCTCACTGCCACAAGGAGACAGTTTAAAGGATCCTTGTTCGGATTTGCTCCTGCTTTGAGTAATATTTCAGTGCAAAGAATGTCATTGTTAGAAACAGCAAAATAGAGTGCCGTTTTCCTTTCGTCATCGTAACTGTCTGAAATGTGCTCAGCCAGCAGGGCATTGACATCGAAGTCACTTTCAATGAGGAGCTCTAAACATTGCAAATTCTGGCCATCTGCTGCTGAGTGAAGGGGACTTAACCCACTTTTCTGGATTGCAGTTTTGGATGTCACTGGAATGAGATATTTCAGGGCCCTAAAAAACAGTGAAGAGAAGTAGTAAGGAATCACCCCCTGCAAGAAGAAAAGAGACCATCATCCAGCATTTTGCTAATGCAGAATCTTCAGATGATTCAAAAACATAAACATCTATTTTGAGCAATGTCAAATGGCACCTTGTGTTAATTTGTTTCAGTGGTTTTCACTTAGTCCTAGGCAGTAAGTTT